GTTACACATGGTACACTGTTCTCAGTCCTACAAACACATCTGTTGCATTTCTTCATCCTGACTCGCTCTAACCCCGGTGAAGTTTCCATGTCACTGGCTTATTGAATATTTATTTAACCGCGACGTCTCCTGGGACGTGAAATGTCATTTCAGACAGCGATTCCATTATATAGATATTTCTGCATCTGCGTAATCTCCCCAGTGGGTGTACAGATCACAGCGCTGTCACTCCTCTCCTGCTCCTAATCAATGGGCTTTATTAAACCCCACCTCAGCCACGAGGGATGTGGGGAGGCACTTTATAACAGGTGTCATTGTCTATGTAGACTTAACGCTGTGTTTATGGCCCCCAAAACCACTAGGCAGCCCTGGGCTATAGAAGAACAAAGATACGAGCGTGTAGGTAAGTCGTATTTTTTTCTTCACTGATAGCAAGGAGGCCTAGACTGTCTAGCTGTCTTAACTATATAGTAATCATGTTTAAATGACAAACCTGGCGTACGGGGCCTGTCTCTGGGGCTCGGACCACCTGTTCTCTGTTGGATATATTTGAGCATGATTCAAGTAATGTGTAGTACTGACGGTTAATCCCTCTAACTGTTTTGAGAGGGGTGATTGGACCGAGATCAAAGCACGTCTTCGTTGAAACGAGCTCTTTGGCCAGACGCCTACCCTGTAAATCCCAATGTTGTCTTATAACTCACGCATGTGAGAAAACAGGACTCACTCAAAATATTTTAGCACGCTCGTTTCGTAAACTGTGCTGTTGTCATTACTCAAACCGGTACACACAGGTACCCGTTCACACCCACACATGTACACACACACACATGTACACACACCCATATGCACACACATGTACACACTCATGTACACACACACACATGTACACACACACACCATGATACCACACACGTTCACTCATCATACACACTGATTTTAATGCTGCAGTGACTAGACTTAACATGAGTTGACCTCTCAGTTTTGGACAGTTTTCATTAGAAACCATTTGCCAGGATCCAGTACATTTTGTGGCATAAACAATCATGTTTATTGCGGAGGTTTTCCCACGTCCCATTAATTCGGGCAGGACTTGCTGGAGATGCTGAATATTGTAACCCTGAGATCAACATGTGGACGTTGCCGTGGTGAGAGAACTTGCCTGTGAGCCTGAACTTCTATTCTCTCCAGCCCCTCATTTCCATATAGAATCATATCCATCCCAAATTCAAAGGCACCAGAAAATGTCCCTGATTAATGGAGAGACATTTGCCAAAGTTTAAAATATGGCTCGTTTCAGACCTTTTCAGAATTGGCTACGACACCAGAAGGAGACCTATAACTTAGCCAGAGAAAAGTTTCTTAAATTAAATGTCTGTTATAACGGTTGCCTAGATTACGTGAAGAGCATGTAACCAAAATAGGAGGGGGCATTGGAAAGCAAAAGGCTGCTGGGAAAAAATGCATCTTATCTGTCTGAAGGTTACCGAAAGAAACTGACAGAGCTAGCATGCATATATGGTTCACTTTTTACTGGAAATCTGTGTTATGTGTTTGAGTTTGTTTGTTCAGTTTGTCTCCGGTGTTTTGTATGTCCATGTCAGAGTAGCTGTCACTTTGTGCGGTATAACACGATTCTGCTCAGCCTCCAGTCATTCCATCCTCAAGACAGCTCTGCTTTACCTGTACCTCACACACACACTCAATGATGTACGGCCATTGGGTCTATAGGAACACGTTTAAATCACATATCAAACTTGATATGATCTTCCACCTTTGACGGAGAAGATGGAACAGAGCATAGCAGATCACAACCCATGGCCGTATAAACAGTTTAGACCTACATGCTAATGCTAACCAGAGCTGTGTTGACCATCCCATTGACCACAACCCATGGCCAGATAAACGGTTTGGACCAACATGCTAAAGCTAACCAGAGCTGTGTTGACCATCCCATTGACCACAACCCATGGCCAGATAAACGGTTTGGACCAACATGCTATTGCTAACCAGAGCTGTGTTGACCATCCCATTGATCACAACCCATGGCCAGATAAACGGTTTGGAACAACATGCTAAAGCTAACCAGAGCTGTGTTGACCATCCCATTGATCACAACCCATGGCCAGATAAACGGTTTGGACCAACATGCTATTGCTAACCAGAGCTGTGTTGACCATCCCATTGATCACAACCCATGGCCAGATAAACGGTTTGGACCAACATGCTAATGCTAACCAGAGCTGTGTTGACCATCCCATTGATCACAACCCATGGCCAGATAAACGGTTTGGACCAACATGCTAATGCTAACCAGAGCTGTGTTGACCATCCCATTGATCACAACCCATGGCCAGATAAATGGTTTGGACCAACATGCTAATGCTAACCAGAGCTGTGTTGACCATCCCATTGATCACAACCCATGGCCAGATAAACGGTTTTGACCAACATGCTAATGCTAACCGAACCGAAAACATTGGACAGCACAGAGAGGCTATATGCAGCTTAAAATGACAATACAGTTTAAAGTGCTGGAACACCGTGGTTGTAGTGAATGAAATGGAAACACATCTGAACAGAGGTTTCTAATCATGGCATGTACATTTTATACACAGTACATAATATTGGAGGAATGTGATGGGACAAATGTACAGCAGGACATCTTCACATTCAATCAGCAGCTCCACAGCTCACCTGGTCACATCCAATAGCAACTTCGACATCATTCTCCTCATTGACGTGACATAGTAAATCTTTACAGCCCCCCCAAACCCCCATGGTTCAAAGCCTCTTCCTGACAACTGAAACACCTCTCATTCCAAATGTGCCGTGACACACTAGAAACACTAGAAACAAGAGTTCCCAGCATCCACTCTGCCAAGCCAACACGAGTGGTTGTTGTCCCGCGTCACTGATGTGTGTATGTGTGTGTGTGTGTGTGTGTGTGTGTGTGCGTTTTTGTGTGAAGAGTAACGGCCAACTGTGTCTTTTGTTTTCTCATTCCTTTTCTCTCTTTCCCACTGAGAATAAGTACAATTATCTCCTAATGGGATCCATGTAGATAAAAGCAGTCCTCTGTCATCCTGTGTGAGGTGCCTGCCAGTATGTGTGTCTGCGTGTGTGTCTGTCTGCGTGTGTGTGTGCGTGTGTGTCTGCGTGTGTGTGTGTCTGCGTGTGTGTGTGTCTGCGTGTGTGTGTGTGTGTGTCTGCGTGTGTGGGTGTCTGCGTGTGTGTGTGTGTGTGTGTGTGTGTGTGTGTGTGTGTGTGTGTGTGTGTGTGAGAGAGAAAGTGAGGTGCCACAGTATCGGAAGAGGGGAAAAAGTACAGGTTAAGTGCTTTCTTTTATCACTGCTCCTTTTTATATGCAAATCTCCCAGCCGCCCATCTACTTAGCATCGCAGGTACTCAGACAAGGACTCAACCCCGCTGTGCCCAGCATCATACAGACCTCCAGGGCACAGCATGCGATGAAGAGCAAACGGGAGAACCAGAAATCCATTGGATTACATAAAAAAAAGTTAGCATTTTGCTCATTTAGCAGACAGAATGTGCCAAGAATTTAGATCAATTAGCCAATTTGGTTTTTCACTTATGTTATGTTATGGACTTTTTACTTTGTTGATCAGCTGCAAAGGCGAAGACTTAATTAAATACGTTTTGATTAAAATAAAATGGGAAAATGTCCAAGGGGCTGAGTATTATTGAGTGACACATACAGTATGTCCATCTAAAAACTCAATAACAACTTAATGCTCAACAAACTTTTTATTTCACTGAGGTAGGCCTATCAATTTTTATAAAATTGCCAGTGCAGCTTGAGTACTGGCTGCCAGTTTCCCATCCCTGAATTATATAAAGCCTCTGTCGAAGGAACATCACAACAAATCTGTCAAAAAGTGCTTTTCCAAACACCCAGCCTTAACCCGGAAGCACACATTAACAAGATGATACACAACGGCTAGGAAAAACTTGCTGATGGGTCAAATTTAGGAAGAAACCTAGAGAGGAACCGGGCTCTGAGGTGTGGCCAGTCCTCTTCCATTTGTACTGGGTGAACTTATATTAGTTTAATACTGATTATAGACAATGTTATAATGCAGAGAGTCTTATAAAATGGGAGGCTTATAAAATATAAAATATCAAATACATGACCAGTCAGAAAAGAGAGATCCGAGGATGTCAAGGATATGAAGGACGTCAGGCTGCTTGTTTAGCCCTTCTGAATCTAAAAAGACACCCATTTAAGGGCACAAATGACACATGCCTCCTGCAGACAGGGAGGTGACAGAAGTCCCCTTGGAGAGCACCCAAAACATTCCTCTCTCATTTCTCTCCTTTCCTCCCAATAACTAAACCGATTGGTTGAGGGGTTATATATTTAGCTTTAAAGCCCTCTTAATGGAGAAGGTCTCTCATGTGCAGGTTATACTGTACTTTTAGAAACCTTCCCTTCACCACTTTAAGCTTTTCCACACCTAATTGACAAGCCTTGATGTTCCCGGTCTGGGGAGACCCTGGATTTGCCTGGATTACCGCTGGGGAGGAGAGACGAGGGACAAGGCAATTCCACATCTCGCAATTGGATTAAACTGTGTGATAGTAGAGACAGAGCTATGCTGTTTTGTATCATGGTTTTGGGATATTGTGAGGATGTGTGTGTGTGTTGGGAGAGTTTGGGGTGGCAATCTGTGTGTGTGTGTGCGTGTGCATTTGCGTTCTTGAATGTGCTTGCTTTCTTGCCCATTTTCCATCATTAATCTCAGCTTTTGTTCCTCAGCTCTATTGATCCTGACTTCATCCTGACTGGTTCTACCTCAGCACCTTCTCCCATGTTTCATCTCTGCGGTGTTCACAGACATTTTCAAAAAACCATTGGAGTCATGCAGTGTCCCAGCCTGCTTCAAGTCCTCCACCATCATCAAAGTCCCCAAGCAACCAGGGATCACAGGGCTAAATGACTCCAGACCAGTTGCCGTGACCTCTGTTGCTATGGAGCAGTTGGTGTAGCTCAGTAGTAGAGTGCATGCTTTGTATGTATGATGTCCTGGGTTCAATCCTGGTGCTGTCACACCTCAAGACTATCACAGATCCAGTAGAACCCCCATGTCACTTTGCCTATGTGGACGACACGATCAACATGGCTTTCACTTCATTCTCCAGCATCTTTGGAACCTGCGCCAGAATCCTGGCATTGAATCCCCATGTTATCTTCTCCCTGTAACAACTGCACCTCCAGTCACCACTCTGTCAAAAGATGAGGACGCCCACAGGGGGAGAATTGACCGGCTGGGGTCCTGGTGCAGCCCAATGCTCTAAAGACAGTGGACATGAGAGTGGACTTTAGGAGAAACCTGGCTAACTTAGTCCCATTGTTCTGGGGCCTCCTCTGTCAACTTAGTGGAGTCCTTTCGCTTCCTGGGCAACACAATCGCCCAGGACCTCAAGTGGGAGCTGAACATCACCTCTCTCACTAAAAAAAGCACGACAAAGACTGTACTGCCTGTGGCAGCTCAAAATGTACAAACTGCCCAACGTCCATGATGATAAACGCCGACACAGCCATCATCGATTCCATCCTGACCTCCTCCATCACCGTCTGGTACGCTGCAGCCACTGTCAGGACAAAGACAGACTACAACGCATCATCCGCTCTGCAGAGCAGACCATAGACTGTAAGCTGTTGTCTCTTAAGGATCTGTTCTACTGCACAACTGTATATAGTATTATCTGCTCACACATCAAGACATTGCTCCTTTGCACTACTCGGATATATATGACACATACTATTTGTATCCATTACTCAAGCTAGGCATGGTTTCTTCTCAAACTGTTTGTGTTGTGTGTTTTTCCCCGCTCTATTCGCACTGATGGTGTACGTTAAAATGTGTGTGTCCTAAATACTGCAGCTATGGGTCAGAACAAATTACTTGTGTGTGTAAACAAACTTGGCAATAAACCTGATTTTGATTCTCAGCAGCTCTTCCCACAGGTTCCACAGCAACATCACTGGTTATATGTTGTAGAGCCGTCCTGTTGTGTTGTCCAATAGGGAGTGGTCCTGTTGTGTTGTCCAATAGGGAGTGGTCCTGTTGTGTTGTCCAATAGGGAGTGGTCCTGTTGTGTTGTCCAATAGGGAGTGGTCCTGTTGTGTTGTCCAATAGGGAGTGGTCCTGTTGTGTAGTCCAATAGGGAGCAGTCCTGTTGTGTTGTCCAATAGGGGGCGGTGTTGTTGTGTTGTCCAATAGGGGGCAGTCCTGTTGTGTTGTCCAATAGGGAGTGGTCCTGTTGTGTTGTCCAATAGGGAGTGGTCCTGTTGTGTTGTCCAATAGGGGGCAGTCCTGTTGTGTTGTCCAATAGGGGGCAGTCCTGTTGTGTTGTCCAATAGGGGGCGGTGTTGTTGTGTTGTCCAATAGGGGGCGGTGTTGTTGTGTTGTCCAATAGGGAGCAGTCCTGTTGTGTTGTCCAATAGGGGGCGGTCCTGTTGTGTTGTCCAATAGGGAGCAGTCCTGTTGTGTTGTCCAATAGGGGGCGGTCCTGTTGTGTTGTCCAATAGGGGGCGGTGTTGTTGTGTTGTCCAATAGGGGCGGTGTTGATGTGTTGTCCAATAGGGAGCAGTCCTGTTGTGTTGTCCAATAGGGGAGTGGTCCTGTTGTGTTGTCCAATAGGGAGCAGTCCTGTTGTGTTGTCAATAGGGCGGTCCTGTGTGTTGTCCAATAGGGAGGTCCTGGGTCCAATAGGGGCGGTCCTGTTGTGTTGTCCAATAGGGAGTGGTCCTGTTGTGTTGTCCAATAGGGGGCGGTCCTGTTGTGTTGTCCAATAGGGGGCGGTCCTGTTGTGTTGTCCAATAGGGAGTGGTCCTGTTGTGTTGTCCAATAGGGGGCGGTCCTGTTGTGTTGTCCAATAGGGAGTGGTCCTGTTGTGTTGTCCAATAGGGGGCGGTCCTGTTGTGTTGTCCAATAGGGGGCGGTCCTGTTGTGTTGTCCAATAGGGAGTGGTCCTGTTGTGTTGTCCAATAGGGAGCAGTCCTGTTGTGTTGTCCAATAGGGGGCGGTGTTGTTGTGTTGTCCAATAGGGAGCAGTCCTGTTGTGTTGTCCAATAGGGGGCGGTGTTGTTGTGTTGTCCAATAGGGGGCAGCATACTCATCTGTCTTCATATGTTGATAGAAATCCTTCTGGTCTGAATCCTGATTATAGTTCTCTGTGTCAAATTCAGGATCACTGGGGTTTTCCAAAGCGGTGAAGAGAGTTGAATCTGTCCAGACTCTTCAACTTTAAAGGCCCTGTGTTCAGTGGACATGTATGTGTGTCTGTGTAAAACTACTTTGTAACTACGTTGTAACTCAATCATTATATACAAATGTGGAGGTGTTTTTGAATAAAACGACCAGAATCTCTGACAGAACATGATTGTGTTGTGTTTCATTACTCCATTATTCCATCACAGATTGATTTCAACCATCAGTGAGGAAGGGGTTCGGTATTTCAACATTTGACATGTTTCTTCTATTGCAGGCACAGACCCTTACTTGTGAGAAACCCTTATATCCAGTCTGGCTCATCCACCCTGTCAGTCCATTCAGTGGTGAAGGTACTCTGAAATGTGATCTCAGCCACAGGATGTGTGTGGCAAATGGGCCCCCTGGTCCTGTAGTGCTCTACATCCGACCAGTTCCCGTTGGGCCCTGCTAAAACGAGTGCACTACACGGGGCATAGGATTCTATTTGGGATGACGCCTGTGGAGCCGGGTCTGGGGAAATAGCAGGTGCTGGGAAGACATCCAACAAAGTCATGATTTATAGTTTCATTACCGGCTTTAGACGAGCTCCCTGAGAGGATACTGACCAGTCCGAACCATCACACCCCTACTTAGTGTACTTCACGTTCCACACCTGCTCATATAACACAATAATAAGTCTATACCGTGTCATACCTGGTCATAACTGGTCATACCTTGTTGCTACTGGTAATAGCTGGTCATGCCTGGTCGTAACGGGTCATGCCTTGTCATCACTGGTCATACCTGTTTGTAAGTGGTCATAGCTGGTTATAGCTGGTCGCAACTGGTCATAACTGGTTATACAGGGTCATACGTGGTATTTACTGGTCATAGCTGGTTATTACTGGTTATAAAGGGTCATAAGTGGTATTTACTGGTCATAGCTGGTCATAACTGGTTATACAGGGTCATAAGTGGTATTTACTGGTCATAGCTGGTCAATACTGGTTATAAAGGCTCATAATAGGTAATTCCTGGTCATAGCTGTTCATAACTGGTTATACAGGGTCATAAGTGGTAATTCCTGGTCATAGCTGGTCATAACTGGTTATACAGGGTCATAAGTGGTATTTACTGGTCATAGCTGGTCATAACTGGTTATACAGGATCATAAGTGGCAATTCCTGGTCATAGCTGGTCATAACTGGTTATACAGGATCATAAGTGGTATTTACTGGTCATAGCTGGTCATAACTGACCATAAAAGCAAGACTGGTTGCATTGGCAGTAGCTTAGATACGTGTTCACACATATTATATTTGCTATTTCATGAAGTGTAGTTACAAAGGGTGCATATGGGTATGTTATATACAGTTTACCTAATGGTTGTACAGTACAGTATAGGCCCCCAATCGTGCATAATATATAAGAATAGCCCATAGCCAAACATATATTACACCTCCTTGTGTATTGCTGCTTGAATCAAAAATAAGTAAATTGAGTATAAAATAAATAAACTATATCAGGGACAGTTTGTGCTGGTACAGTTTGTTCTAGCAAAGTATACTCAAAGATCTGTAGGCTACGTTTACCTGTCAAGCTTTATCTTAGTCCCCTCGTTGTCACATAAATATACTCTGTAAAGCAAAAAACATATGTTACAAGACACATTTAACTCTGCATTAAACATTCATGTAATGGATCACTTATGATAGCAGAATACATGACAGCCAGCCAAAGTGCAGCACCATTCCGTTTCACAACCATGAACAATACACACCACTGTTCAAGGGTTTGGGGTCCCTTAGACATTTCTTTTTACCTATGAATTCATTCATGAAATGATGTTGAATAGCAAATGTAGCAAAATAAATGGGATATATAGTCATTGACACGTGTTATAAATAATGATGTTTTATTGAAATTATAATTGCGTCCTTCAAACTTTGCTTTTGACAAAGTAACCTCTATTTGCATCACCTAGGGAGAAAACGGAAAGGAAAAGTATCACCTCATAAGTGTTTTTGCTCTGAGGTAGCAGTGTGGAGGCGTCAAGGCGAGGAGGAGTTATGAGAGAAGACAGAAAGGAGAGGATAGGAAAGGAGGAGGGATGAGGAGAAGACAGAGGGTTTGAGGAGACGAGAGCGGAGTGCAGAAATGCGGTGAGAGGAGCAGAAATGTGAAGAGAAGGGATGAGAAGAGAGGAGAGAGATAAGAGGAGCAGAGAGGGAAGGAGAGAAGTGGAGAGGAGATGGGAGGGGTAGAAGAAAGGTGCAGAGTGTAACCATGGTGAATCCTGGCATTTACACACCTTCTGTTGTTCTGCTACCATATGCTCTGCTAATGGACCACATAGCTAGCAGAGGACCACACAGCAAGCAGAGGACCACACAGGTGGTACGGATGGCCTGGTGGATCTCCAGGGTTAGGCTGACTTGGTTCATCACTATGTGTAGAGACAAGCCATTGGAGGCCCGGGGATATAAATCAGATAGCCAGTTCAGCATCCACATGAATCTACCTATTACGGTTGTCTGAACATCGTATTTAATATAAATACTAGTCATTACTGGATCACTATAATATTATGAGACATTAGAAGACACATGAATAGAACCATTTGATCAATCTTAGATTTTATATTATTATACGTTATATTGAGTTTCATTTTACCTTATTGGTTATGTACTGTGTTTGTGAAAAGTATTAAAACCTTTTGACTTTCTTCCCATTTTTGCACATATTATGAGCTTTGAAGTGCTATGCCCATTGTATGGGCAACACACCTTTCCTCCTTAAATATCTGGATGAATTACATAAAGCGTTTTATCTTGTGGACAAATAGTAGCCT